TTCATACTTACAGAGCAGTAGTATCATGACATAGTCTTTTCTCATAAGTAAGCATTTTTATCAGAGAAGTAACAGATTCAGGTATCAGCTTCAAGACTCTTAAGAAGACTGTTACTGACTCTGTTTATAACTTCTCAAATTTCTATTTTAATTTATTCAGATAGTTTATATGAAGATATTCTGATTTAGAATAGATAAAGCAGAGTCTCTTTTTCTTAATCTCTCTATTATACACTCTATTCATAAGAGCTTATGAAGCTCTCTCTCTCTACTCAGTAGTCAGATATAAATCTCTCTATATCTTATTATCTTTTTCTGATAAATCTGTTCTCTGTTGTTCTGACTCTTACAGAGTCAGTTAATAATCTGCTCTTCACAGATCTGTAACTCTCACAGTGATTTATAAGCAGTGAATAAGAGTTATCAGTTTCTTCAGAGTTAAAAACTTAGAGTCTTATTCAATGAGCTTGTTCTGCATGTCTTTATTCAGTCTCTTTATAAACATCATTATTCAGGTCTTATTTCAGAGCTCTGTTTTCACAGACTTTAATTCATGTCATAATTTCATAAAGTATTATAAGTAGTCTTCATCAGATTTCTCATCTCTTTTTCTAATATTAATAATCACAGCTCAGATATTCTCTGTTCAGCTTATAAAGTCTCTTAACTTATTCTCTAAATAGATCTTGAGAATAGATTAGTGAGATCTCTTATAATCATTCTCTAGATAATTCAGTCAGTTCTTGACTTCAGTGTAATAGAGATCTGTTATTATATAGATAATAGCTTCTTCATCTTTTATATCACATAGTTGAGCTTGTGAGTCAATTTCAAATACAAACTTGCAAAAGCTTTTATAGATTGTGATTCAATAAGTGATCTTAAGTGATTACAGCTTAAGAAAGTTTCTTTTCAGTTTATAAGTATCTCTGAAAATCATGTCTAGAGACTCAGTTTAAGAGTGTTTACAGATAGTAAGTATTTCTTGTAAAAAAATAGCTTAATTCTGTGAGAGATGCTCAAGAATATTCTTTACTAAGATTAATTTATTTATAAGTTCAAAGAGTTTCTCTGTCACAGATACAGAAAATAATGTTTTATAAGTAATTAATAAGTTCTCTGAGACTTCTTTTATAAGAGTTATTCATAATTCAGATAACTGCTTCTGAGTATCTGCAGTAAAGTTCATAGAAATTGAAGTATATAAGTTTCTAGTTCTTTCAGTTATAATAGACAGTTGCTGACTGACTGAGCTTGAAATGTAAGAATAAGTGCTTACAGATAATTATTCAGATGTTTACAGCTTGATGTAACATATACTGTTAACTACTAGAAGTATTTATAATAGAAAGATAAAATGTAGAAATCAAATATATAATAGTATTCAAGCTGAGTTATAAATAGTATTTGTGAACTTCAGTCTATATAGTTGTATATAGTCAAGAGCTGCTAGCTCTATTGATTACATAAGAGATAGAAATAGAGGTAAAGAATTCATAAGAAGCGGGATTTCTTACAGATCATAATTTTCACTTCTCAATTTAAATTATTTTTATTACTTTAAATGACTTTAAATCTCATTTAAGTATTATCAAAAAGTGTTACTTTTTAAAAAATTAAAAATAGTCTAAAAAAAACCTTAAAATGTCTAAAAATAGTAACTTTATATCAAGAATGAAACTAAATGAGATTAAATGAGATTACTTTCTTATTTTTTTCAAGTCATGATTTCATTTTAAGATCTGATATATAGTCACTTTATATGTTTTTTTAATAGTCAGTCTCAGCAGAATTCATATCAAGAAATGTATAAGATCAGATTAAATGAGATTAAATATGAAATTCATGATCTCAGTGATTAGTCTAATATAAATCATGATCAGAAGTAATGCTTTTAGACAATATAACAACTGTAAAGTTTGATCCTGGTCTCAGACATGATCACACGGTCAGTCTAGATATGAGAGAGATGAAGAGGTAGAGTGTAAGACTGCTAGAGCTTAGAGCATCATCACATGATTATCACATGACTCACACAGGTCATAGTAATCTTATATTCCCTTCTCTCCTTTCATAGCTAGTTCTTCTACTCAAGAATCAGTAATATCATGACCTGTTGTATAGCTGCAGTTCCACTCTGATATCCACCAGTGACACGGCTCTAACAGGAAAACCCAAGCTGTGAGTGGGCCAGAAGTGGTTATTCCTTCCCCATTGGGCATAGCCAGAGCGATGACTAATATCACCTTTCGGCCCGTTCGGAGTCCCGAGGTCGGTACGTGCTGATTCCTCACTCGGCAAAAGACACGGCAGAAAGAATCTATCCAGCATGGACATATATTACCACGTTTTTAACAGAAGCAAAAACTGAATGTGGCCCCGAAAATACAAAATTCATGCCCATAAATTCCTTCCCGGAGCTGAAACCTTGCCGTGATCGAACTGCGGTGAACCCACCTGGGTTTAGACCTGTTCATTTTTCGCCTCTACCGCCTCCACCCCGCGCTTGAGTAGTTAGTTAGTTACCGAGCTAACAACCAAGCGGAAATGGGAAAAATGGGGTGCAGCTAGAAGAGACATGACGTCCTGTTCGCCAGTTTTGACACCTTAAAGGAATCTAGGTGGGGTGCGGACTATTTCACTGGCATGGCGTTTTTCTCACCGTGCCAGTGCTTGGTTTGTTCGTCTGTCACTCGATATCGATATAGAAAAATTTCCCTCGAGATTCTGCATGCAGAGGGCTTTGTCCAACGGGGGACGAGTTTCATCATAGATATTTCCGCTAAACAACGTTGATTTGACATTGCCGTCGCATCTTAATCCGTTGCATTGTTGCTGTCGGGTATGGAGTGCTCATATGGGACGACGAATATTTAGCACTTATTTTTATTATTTATTTATTTTATTTTTTCCATGTTGAGTATTTTTTTAAACTCATTGCCACATCAGATCACATACGCATTTTTATCTCCATTTAATGTTTCAATATTTGTTATATTGTTGATATACAGATTACCCTATTTCGCAATAGTCATGACAACATTGGATACCAGCGCTGACATTCCTCACGGCAACTCGACAACAGTTGAGCCGGGCGTCGCATGGCATCCCAAGAGCAAGAAATTCGGATGGAAGCTTTGGAACAAGCAGAATGCGCAAGCTGTTGGCGCCAAGGATGAAGCTCCCAAACCTCCTGCTGCTATAGAATCCAATGTCCGAATGCCTATTCCTGATGGACAACACCAACCTGCACAGGCCGAGCTGCTGTCAGAGCGTGATATTGAGCGGTTGGGACGGGAGCGTCCAGCTGCCTTCAAAAATGCTTGGACTGAGACAGCGTTCGTGTTTTCAATTTCCATGTCCCAGGTCCTTGCGGTAAGAGCTGGCCCCTATTTTATTCTCTCTTTCCTACTTTTAAGCTTTGAATTCTTCAGCATATACGTATGCTAGCTGTGGCTTGCAGAACTCCCTGTCCTGGAATCCCTACTAAACTCCCCGTCCACATATATTAGGAATATTTCATCTCCGGCTTCAACGTAGTGTTGCCATCTCTGGTTAAGGAGTTGAATATTACTGAGTCGTCCGCTATCTGGCCTGCAAGTGCGTTCTCACTTGTAGTAGCCGCGACGTTGCTGATATTTGGTCGAATTGCCGATATGATTGGCGGCTACCCAGTCTACGTCTTTGGCATGGCATGGCTATTTGTCTGGTCTGTAGTTGCCGGATTCTCTAAAAACCGCTTGATGTTGATCTTCTGCCGCACACTGCAAGGAATCGGCCCAGCTGCATACCTTCCGTCGAGCATGATGCTACTTGCAAAAGTTTACAGACCGGGCCCAAGAAAGAATATGGTATTTAGCATTTACGGCACGTGTGCAGTTATTGGATTTTTCATTGGGATCTTTTGCTCCGGCGTCTCGGCGCAGTTCCTTTCATGGGGGTGGTATTTTTGGATCGGTGCGATTCTTGCAGCTATCACAGCCGTTTCCTCGTTCTTGACCATCCCGTCCGATACGGCTGAGGCACGGAAACAAGGTATCAAGATGGATTATATGGGTGCGGCGCTTATCGTTCCTGGCTTGACATTGACTGTCTTCGCCATTACGGATAGCGCGCATGCTCCTGACGGCTGGCGGACACCCTATGTGTACGTCTGTTTCATCATCGGTAGTATTCTTCTCGGACTAGCTGTTTATGTCGAGGGATGGGTTGCTAAGTCGCCACTGTTACCATTTGATATTTTCGATGCTCCGTACATGAAGCCATTGGTCGTTTCTCTCCTATTTTTCTACGGGTGTTTAGGCGTTTACCTCCTTTACGGAACCCTATAGTAAGTGCATACAGTCATTTCCCCTTTTATGTTGCATTACCTCTAATCATCACGTCTATTTAGCATGGTCAATATCATGGGAGCAAGCCCTATGCAGGTAGTCGCCTGGTGCGTCCCCATGGTCGTCGGCGGATTTATCTTCCCCATCCTCTGCGCGCTCTTCCTCCACATCATCTCAGGAACAGTGTTGCTTATAATCTCCGGCATCGGGTGGGTCGGAACCGGCGTTCTCTTCGCTGTCATGCCTGAGGGAGCGTCATACTGGGCCTTTGTGTTCCCCTCCATGGTCGGCGCTACGCTAGGTATCGATATCACCTTCAACATCACGAATATCTTCATAACGACAAGTCAGCCCGCCAAGCGGCAGGGGCTGGCTGGCGCTGTGATTAATTCAGTGCTACACTTGAGCATTGCGTTTCTTCTTGGGTTGGCGGATATAGCGCAGGTGCACACGGCGCACTGGGGCAAATTAGAGAGTTATAGAGTTGTGTTTTGGTTTCAGGTTGGATGCGCGGTTGCGTCGTTGTTAATTATGATCTTTTTTGTGAGGGTTAATGCTGCGAAGAGTGAGATGACGGCGGATGAACGGCAGCAGTTGATGCAGGGGGAGCAGTCGGATTCGCAAAGTTGAACCCGGTTAAAATAGATTTACGAATTGATGCATATAAAACTCAGCTTATAGAATTTCTTTATTGGTTCGGGGATTTATTTGGGCTAGTATGATCAAAGGAAGCTTTTTTATCTTAGCTATATAGCGATTGCATTTTAGAGCTGGACTATAACATGACCCGTCTACCATCCACGATATGGCTTATCATTTGGATATGTTGCTAGCTTCCATTAGCGTTCTCCCTCCAGTTACTACGGTTGCCATCTTCTTCAAGCTTTCCAGTTGGGCAGTGCTCCCTACGGCATAACCACGAGTTGAGTGGGAGTTAAACAGGAGCCATGACCAAAAGCCCTTCGCCCAAGCCTTGGTAAGCTATGATTGGCTCGAGACCTAGGTGGTCATTCCAAAGGCGGTTATGCATGTATTGGTACTAAAAGCCCTCACTCAAAGGGGTTGAAATGCAATTTCTTTACTCCGCCATTGCTCGATACGGTACTGTAATGATTCAAGTAGGAAAATACAAATAGAAGGTAAATGTTTTGACGAACGCAAACAAATGATTACTATAGGTGTAATAATGCGACATTCAAGAAGAAGAAAGAATAATGACACTCAGTATGAATCCTGATACATAAAAGGACCAGCCCATTGCCCGTATGAAACTCCCGCAAATGACTGAAACAATGCGAAAGGAAAGATGATACTAGGTCTACCACCGCGTTACACCAACGTCCTAACGTAAAGATGTAAAGCAAGTCGTTAAACCAATCATCGTAGGGACGGTGCGGATTGATTTCTATATTTTCACCCACAGCCCGCCTCCATCGTACGTCCACTTTCCTTTCAAATTCGACCCGATTCTAGAAACTAGATTATCCCTCAGAGCTTCAAGATCAAAATCAAAACACTTAAACTCAACAAGCTTGCCCTGCACGCCCAGGTATCTGACTGAGTGCGAAATTAGGGAATAGCTTGTATCCAGCTCCATCCACGGGTCGTTGGGATCCAGGGTTCCTGCCCGCTGCTCATCCTCGAAGATGGTGCTGGTAGGTTGCGGTGCAAGCTGGAAGCTTAAATGACGTAAGTTCGACATGTTACGTATAACCTTCAAGACCAGATTTGTGTGATTGTAGAAAGGGAACACAGCGATATAATGGAATGAGGTCAGGCGCGAGATTGCCCCAACGGGGTAGGGGAGCTCCTTGGATTGGAGAGGATCGACAGAACCCCAGTGTTCCATGATTGAAGGGACACGGAGAAGATAATATTCGTAATTGCTATATGCCCTCAGAGAAGAGCCTTCGTTGAATAGGATTTCCGTCCACGGTCGAGCGTTGAAGAGGGTTCCATCGGGCCCTGGTTTCGGAGAATAGGCCCGCCGCTGAGCTGGCTCTGGTTGGTGGAACTGCATAGTTTGAAGTGGCAAATCGAAGGCCCAGGAATGCACGCTTTCCAGGCGGCAGAGAGCCATGTGCGCGAACATATAGGGAGGTGCTATGACAGTGAGATGGCGAGGATCAACCTCTTCTAGCAACCGCACCCACCACAGCGGTTTCTCGCTGCCGGGGAATATCGAACGCACAGACACCAAGACTGATCGTACATGGGGGGCAAGCTCATGTCTTCGTAGGAAGTCGAGGAAGCGTTCCTGGTCCCGTAGCTCGTGGTGGGTGTGGGTGAAGAGGAAAGGGCGCGCGAGGGCTCGAAAGCGGGACGAGGTTCGCGAAACATTTTTTAGATCTATAGTTGTGGACGATGTGATGTTGTGCGCTGGAATTTGACGCAGCTTCCCTGCAGACGGAGGAGGGCCTGAGGAGAGATAGGAGAGCACATGGTTGAGAAGTTCATTGGGCAGGGTTTCGATCGAAGAGGTAGCGGTGTTTGCGGACGTTAAGGACCTGTTGGCCATGTGGATGCAAATATTAGAGTGGTAACCTGTTTGCGTTAGCGATTCATTTTATTGGCGTAAGGTAAAAGTACCCAGGGAGAAACATGGGGATTTCAAGGCTTGTTCGTGTGGAGGAGTTTCGTGATACGAGGAGTCGCGTGCGGCTCAACCTTGGGGAAACAATTAAGGTTTGGCCTGGGTCGGCTACAGCGGATGTACTCCGTGGTTCCAGTGCAGTAAGTTACCGCGTCTGTGCGGCTTTTGCGGGGAAGAAGTTATCTCAGGCTGGAACCCGACAACGTTTCACGTTATACAAGTTCCTAACTTTCCGTTCCCACACAGCGGATGGTGCCTGCCGGGATAGTTACATGGTAGAAATCTCTCACCATGGTATTAGTTGAGCCGTTGCACAATGACAACTACATACACCCACTCCGAGTTATGAGGATAACCCGGGGCGAAAGGGATTAAAGGGAACCAGGAGCAGCAGAAACGGTGGAGCTGAATGGTATCGGATTTACGGATATTTAGACGTGGGAATGCAGTATGATTCTCCAGGGAAGGAGAACCTGCTCCAGAAGCTCTTACTTTTTTACTTTTTGAATGAATGCAACTGATTGATTTACTTCCTCTTGGGGCTGAGGCGAGAATCGCCGATGCATGTTTCCCAGATCCAGCTTTCCGTGGAGGATCTCCAGTTTGCGGAGGCAAAATGTATGCTGGGGACCGGAGACCCTGCTTATGATATCTCCTAGACCCTCTTCTCGACTCTTTCGTTCTTGCCATTGTCTATCTGTCTGGGTGACTATCGAATTATCACCACGAAACGGAAAAAGAAGAAATAGAGAAGGAGAATGGAGGTGAGAAACAAAAGAAAAAAGAAGAAGAAAAAAAGAGATAGACAGAAGGCGGGAGGCCAGAAACCCAAGGAAGCAGAGGAGGGGGACTCTGAACCTTATGAAGAGTCCACCATATCGAGCTACGCTACCCTGCGGCAACTCGATATCAACATATAAAGGCAGGAAGTTTTCGGCCATCCTGTTCGTGAGTGAAGCTCGGCTCAGAAGTCCATCTTGAATAAATTAAAAACCCCAATTTTCAAACAAGTTGGCAGCTGATCTCAAACAGGAAGATGCACTTCTCCGTCCCCTCTCTCGGCCTCGGCCTCGCCCTCAGCCTCGCCATGTGCGTTGTTGCTGACGGTGTCTCCCATAAACGTGACGTGGATGTCTCCAATAAGCATAAACATGACCACGGCCATAAACCTAGAGGGAAAGTGAGTGATGCTGCCCTCTCCCATTGCCAATTCTTCCAGTCACCTTTTATGTTAAAGCATGCATTGACGATACCCTTCCGCTTCAATGAAGGATGGCGACGTGTACGACCTTTTGAAAATCTTAAACACAGACCCACTGGGCTTCGGCCACCTCGGTGACGATGGCGTTTACCGCATGTACAACAGAAATGGCACCGTCATCGACTATTTACTTCTTAGCAGCGATGAAATTGAGGAACTGATCGAGAAATCTCCCCTTAAGGAACAGGACAAGAATCATATGAGGAACCTCTTGGGTGGCGTGAATAGTACAAATGTCGATCTGCAACAGATCTGGTTCCCTGCTTTCAATCTTCGTCCACATAAGTTGAAATATCCAGACTCCTTGCAGCGCCGGGGTCAACGTCCGCCCACGTCGCCTGTTCCAGGTGGGCTAAAAGAGCCGCCGCCGCGTCTTCGATGTATAGACATTATCTGTTTTGAGTCTGGACCTTGCTGGGAGGCTAGATGCATGCTTTGTAGTTTTTGGGATGACTTGCCAATGGGCAACTGTGTTTGAGCTTTTAACAAGGATAATATGTATATAGCTGAGTAAATGGCTACAGCTTACAGAACTGTAATGGAGGGATCCTGCAGCGCCAAGTCGCATGAAATATTTAGTACGCACGACCTTCCTATATAGGCATAGATGACACGATGCGGCGCTGCTGTGGCATAGGCCTTGAAAATATTGTATTCATCTAATTGAAAACCTCTTGTATGCCGGGTAATGGATATAATAATAATCCATCACTGTAATAAGCAGCTGCAGCTGCCACTGCCGCTGCCGCCGCTTGTACAGTTATTTTGAACTCCAATAATAATAAAAAGTGAGGTCTTTGATATCAGCCGCCTGTTCCATACACCCATTTTGATTTCAATCTTGAAAATATAAGAGCTTGATGACAATAATGGTGATGGTATGACAATTGTGAATGCAAATCAGGGGGATAGATAATCTGAATAAGATAGAGAAAGGCATATGTATAGATGAAGTTGATAATCAATCTGCCTTACAACAATATGAGATATGAGACTAACTTGATGTGAGAATTTAGACTGACTGTGTGACCGTGTCTGGAACCAGAACTAGAATATTTGATGATCTTATTATCAATTTGATTGATCTCATTACACAGTTTTAAGATTAGATAGTAGTTTTATACTGTCTCAGTGAGACTTACTGTCTACTCTTATCACATTTTTCAAATGAAATCATGATTTTTACTTCTTAATTTAAATTCTTTTTATTGCTTTAAATAACTTTAAATCTCATTTAAGTGTTATCTTAAAAGTGTTACTTTTTAAAAAATTAAAAATAGTCTAAAAAAAATCTTAAAATGTCTAAAAATAGTAACTTTATATTAAGAATAAAACTAAATAAAATTAAATGAAATTACTTTCTTATTTTTTCTAAGTTATAATCTTATTTTAAGATCTAATGAATAGTCACTTTATATGTTCTTTTAATAATTAATCTCAGCAGAATTCATGTAAAGAAATGTATAAAATTAGATTAAATAAGATTAAATATAAAATTGATAGTCTCAGTAGTCAGTCTATATGAGATATATAGACTGACTGTGTAATTATATCTAGATTAATTATGTAACTGTGTCTGAGATCAGAATCAGATTTTTTAATACTTTTATTATCAATTTAACTGATTTCATTACACAGTTTTAACATTAGATAGTAGTCTTATACTGTCTCAGTAAAACTTACTATCTACTTATATCACATTTTTTAAATAAGATTATGATTTTCACTTCTCAATTTAAATTATTTTTATTACTTTAAATGACTTTAAATATTATTTAAGTATTATTAAAAAGTGTTACTTTTTAAAAAATTAAAAATAGTCTAAAGAAAACCTTAAAATGTCTAAAAATAGTAACTTTATATCAAGAATGAGAATAAATAAGATCAAATGAAATTACTTTCTTATTTTTATCAAGTCATGATTTCATTTTAAGATCTTATATATTATCACGCTCCCGGCCGTGTCAAGACCCTGTTGCAGTTTCACACGGCTTATCACTTTCATGCGGATGATTTCATTCTGTCTGAACTGGTTTTCAATCACTCTATAACATTATTCAGATATATTATAGAAAGATCTGATTGATGAATATAAGAACCTCACTTCTATACAAGATCAACAGATTACTCTTTCTTGATAATAAGATACAGCTGAGATATCACTTCAGCTATTCTTACTTATGAAATGAAAGAAAAGTATTCATTCATTATCTATATAGAATAACTAGATGCTGACTTCTTATTAAAGAAGTCAGTGATTTATTTTTTCTTCTACTGAAATATATACAAGAGTTACTGCATATCTTATACAATCTTCTTAGTATACTAAGTATCATATCTGTGATATTCTTGTAATAACTCTGTAGTCTATGAGCTCACTATTCAAGTAAGATAGTCAAGTTTACTTATACAGCTTCTTAAATAACTATCTCTATATAATATCACTGACTAGTCATCACTTCAGTTTTATTATATTACAATTTGAATCACTCAATCTGATTATATAGTTGAATCAGTTAAGCTTTAATAGACTGATATAATCTTATGTATCTATACTGAGACTGATCTGATCTCATTCTCTGAGAGAAATACTATATTATTCTCTAGAGTGTGTACATCTCTACTTTAGCAGAAATTTAAGATTTCTGAACTCACTGTATATTTTAATATAAGCTCTTCAACTGCTTTATTATCACTGCAGTCTCTACACATCTACATCTATTATAAAGATAGAGAGATTAAGATCAGAGATTCTTCAAGATATAAGAGAAATATCTTATCTGAATTTCACAGCTTTATCTGTATTCTTGAATGAAAATTTCATCTTAACTCAAGCTAGTATAATACTTATAAGATATAAGTAATATATATTATTAACCTTCTTAAAGGCATCTCTGCAACTACTTGAGTTATTAAGAAGAGAGAGCTTGAGTGTATTAATACTGTAATAACTTAAGAAGAATTCAAGAACTTTCTACTGAATTAAATTAAAGATTACTGCAACTGCAGCTTCACAGCAGCAAAGTGATTCAACTCATTATATTAATAAGATAATAAGAATTTTTTCAATTTCAATACAAGATTTAAAGAATATTAAGAGAAATTAACTGATGATTTGAATTAATTAAAAACACAGCTTTATCTCACAAAGCTGACTTATAAGATGCAGATAATAATATTATAATATCAGAGTTTATTAATTAATTATACTAAGCTTATCAATCTGACTTCTCAGATCTATTTGAATAATCAATTCTCTGAGAAAAAGAGTAAAAAGATCTCTTCTAAGTAATTAATAACAGAATCTAAACAGTGTCATGACAGCTTCAGTGTAGAGAAAGTAAAGAAGAATTTCAAGTATTTTAATTCTTCACTCACTATGAAGAAATATTAAAAAAGATTTAATAAAGATATCTGTTTCAACTGTGAAGCTGATAATTACTATATCAGTGATTGTAAGAAGCTGAAGAAGAGAAGAAACTGAGAAGATATCTTCTCAAAGTTAACTTCTCTTCTGACAAATGTATTCATGAAAAATAAAGAAGAGAAAGAAATGAAGAATTAATAATTCTTATATCTCTGAGTTCATGTTACAATTATAATATATATCTTAAATAAGAAGATATCAGTGAGATGTCTACTCAACTTCAGAGTAAATATCAACTTCATATTCTATTTTCTTTCTTTGATGAAGAGTTGAAAGAAGATAGATCTATCAGATTATATTAAATTTACTGATAGAATAAAATATCACTGTTTTAACATAATTTAAGCAAAGTATGTGACTATAAACTTAGAAGAAATCTTTAAGAAGAGCAGTCTGCTTCTTCACACAGTTAATATCATAGATAAGAACATTATTCTAGACCTTCTGTGATTGAGAGAAAACAATTCTCTCATTGACTGAGTTATTCAGATATGATGATATCATCTCACTGATAAAGAGACAGTAATAGAGAAATCTGAAGAGTTTCATTGAAAGAATCTTAAGAAAAAGATAGAGTTGATATACTATATAGTAGATGATTAGAACTTGAGAATAGATGAAGAAGTTATCACTCTTACTACAAGATTAGCAGCAGTATCTGTTATTAAAGACAGATGTATACAATATCTCTTTACAGATTTTAAGAATGTCTTTTCAGAAAGAGAAGTAGTAAAGTTTTCTGATATTAAGATATAATATATAATTTTTCTTGAAGACAGTGTAACAGTATTATACAGATCTCTTTACAACTTGTCTGTAAAGAAATTGAATATTCTGTATAAATATCTTGAAGAAGTATAATCAAAGAACTGAATACATTTATGAAAGAGTCTGACAGAGACATCTATACTCTTTATACTTAAGAAGAATGATAGACTATATCTATGCATAGACTACAGAGGTCTCAATAAGATAATGATTAAGAATCACTATTTATTACTATTAATTAATGAGATAATCAATTAATTATCTGAAGCAAAGATGTTCTTAAAGATTGATATATAGAATATCTATCATAGAATCAGAGTTAACAAAGATAATATTTTAAAAACAGCTTTTCATACTAAGTACAGTAATTTTAAATATCTTGTTTTATCTTTTGATCTTTGTAACACTTCAGTCATCTTTCAGATCTATATAAATGAGATACTGTAGAGTCTTGTTAACATCTTCTGTATAGTATATCTGAATAACATTCTAATCTTCTCAAAATCAGAGAAAGAACATGATACTCATGTTCAAGAACTGTTGAGTCACTTGAGACAGTATCAACTCTATATAAACACTGAAAAATGCTTATTCTACATGCAGAAGATTGATTTCTTAGATTATATTATTAAGATGAACAGCATTTCAATGAACAGAAGCTGAGTCTTCATCATTGAGAACTGACTGATGCTGTGAATATAGTGCAAGATGCAGATATTTCTAGAATTTATAAATTTCTACAGATGATTCATCTATACATATTCACAGATTACTGCTCTTCTTACAGATCTGTTAAAGAGAAATGTAAAAGACAGAAAAACAGAATTATTTATTCTCACTTAAAATACTGTGTAGATATTTATGAAATTGAAACAAGCTTTCACAGATATTATAATACTGAATCACTTTAATCTCAACTTACTCAGTCAGTGTAAGACTGATACATTTAAAAATGAGATCTGTGAAATCTTTTCATAGTTAATATCAGAGATCTTTTAACATTAAAAGAATCAGAGAATAATCATCTCTGAGAAAACAGACAATGAATTGTCTATAAGAGAAGACTTTTTCACAGAGTCTATAAGATATTATAAATAAAGATCAGTGATCTTCTTCTTCAAGAAGTTATCACTCATATAGAGAAGATATGATACTTATAATTAGAAGATGTTAGTAATTATTAAATTCTCTAAGATCTGATAATATTATCTTTAGAGTAGTAAGTACTCAGTGTAAGTTCTCACTGATCATGCAAATCTGTATTACTTCTTGATAATAAAGAGCTTGATAGAATATCAAGTCAGATAAGCAGAGCTGCTTTCAGAGTATAATTTCTATATCTGATATTATTCAGATTGACTTAATCTCATCAATACATTATCTAGACAGTCTGATTATAATATCATTGATATAGAGAAGAATTCTATAAAAGAACCTCTGTCATTACTGCAGAAGAAGCTGACTGTAGAGAATTAAGATTCTCTGAAGCTTAGAAACAGTGCTGATAAGACAGCTACATAACTCAGTATAGAAGATGAAAGAAAACTCAGATCTCTGTAGAGAACTGACACTGAAGATTATAAGCTTATTATATTATATCTTATAATTATTGAATTAATAAAGAATAAAACAGTCTATAATC